AACCACCAAGAAAAACACAGTAAGCAGAAAGTGAACGACGATATGAAGGATCACTAGCCCATGTAGCATCCGAATAGGCCTGGAGCTGTAATGAACTAGAATGGGGGAAAAGGAGACGATGAGAAATCGTGCCACGAAGATATCGTAGAACACGAAGAAGGTGACTATAGTGAACTAAAGTGGGAGCAGAACAAACTGACTCAGAATATGGACAGGATAGGAGATATCACGACGAGTGACAACAAGATAGACAAGACTCCCAACAAGATGACGATAACGAGTCGGATCAGACAGGGGCTCACCATCAAAAGCGCGAAGGTGAAGATTGAGCTCCATAGGAGTCTCAATAGTGCGCTCATCACTAAGAGCCGCACGAGCAAGAAGATCCTGGATATACTTTTATTGGGAAATAAAAAAGGCATCAAAGGTGGAGGAAACTTCAATCCCGAGAAAGTAACAAAGAGGACCAAGATCAGACATAAGGAACTGCTCACTAAGACGGGCCTTGACAAAGGCAATGTACTCAGAATCGTCGCCAGTGATGATGATGTCATCAACATATAGAAGAAGAAGAGTGCGGCCACGAGTAGAAAGGTGGACAAACAACGCTGAATCATGAGCACTGGACGAAGAACCAGCTGCAGTGACCACAGAGAAAAAACGCTCAAACCAAGCTCGGGGGGCCTGCTTAAGGTCATAGAGAGAGCGACGAAGACGACAAACCATACCATCAGGAACTAAATACCCAGGTGGTGGCTGCATATAAACCTCCTCACGCAACTCATCATTAAGAAAGCCATTCTTAACATCAAGATGGGAGACGGACCAGTGGCGAACAGAGGCCGCAGCGAGTAGTGTGTGGACAGTGGTCATATGGGCCACATGAGCAAAAGTTTCATCATAACCATGTCCATGCTCCTGCTGAAAGCCACGAGCCACAAGACAAGCTTTATAACACTCAAGAGAACCATCAGAGCGAGTCTTGATCTTATAGACCCACTTACAAGTGATGGAATGAACACGGGGAGGAAGAGAAACCTAAAAAAAATGTGAGTTCGAAGAAAGGTAATAAATTCTAAAAAAATCATAAATTTGAAGAAAAAGAAATTTAAAAAACCAAGAATTTTGAGAAAAGAATTAGGAATTTGAATTTGATAAAATATTCATGATTTTGAAAAATTATTGCAGATTTTAAAAGTTTATGAATTTGAAAAATTGTCCATGAATTTGAAAAAGATCATGAAAGTAAAAGATGTCCATAAATGTTCATGAATTTGAAAAAAATCACCACTTTAAAAAATGTTTACAAAAATTTAAAAAAGTCACGTATTTAAAAATTATTCATCATTTTTGCAAAAGTTCACAAAATTAAAATGAAAAATAAAAGAAAAGAGAAAAAAATAAAGGAGAAATTAATATGAAATTTCTTCTCCCGTCCATCTTCCCTGCCATTCTTCGCCGCCATGGAAGCCCCCCAGCCGTCCCCCGTCACCGTGGAGGTCGCGCACGTGCAATCCCTTCCGGCGGATTTCGTCGCCAGCCATGTCGCCCCCGCCGTCGCCCAAGGCCCCAACGCGCCTGCTCGCAAGCGGCAGGGCAATGTTGTCGTGCAGGGCGGCAATCCGGCTGGCCCGCCGGAAAGGCGCGTGCACCGGGTGCCGCTACTACCGCGCGATCTTCCCGCCCACCGGCGGAGAAGGTGAGCAAGGTTTCAGGCGTGAAGCGGAAGAAGGTTCCTACAAAAAGGTCGGCACTTCGTCCACTCCCTCCGCCACGGCGAGATATTCCCCGACGATGTCGTTTAACGACGCTACTTCCACCGCAAGCGAGGTATTCGATGAAATGACCGGAAGGTATGCATCTTTGATCTCTTGTTCTTGCTTCGCTTTTCGGCATTGTGGTTGTTCTTGACTTGATGTCTCTCAATGTAGCGATGGTTTGAACAATGCCACTGTTGAGTTCGTGAACTTGTTGGACACCAACACCGTCGACATCGATAGGGCCCCATTCGTTGATTTAAATTGTAATGAAATGGAGGGTGGCGTGGATGATCATGGTGGTGAAGATGAAGTGGAGGAGGTAGATGGGGGGCGTATGAGGAAGCGCAAGCAAAAAAAACATGAGATCGAAGAACTACATGATCTTGGAAGATCAAAACTTGATCAAGGCTTGGAGTGTGGTGTCTCTTGATGCCTGCACGGGTACATCTCAAACCTCCAGGAGATATTGGCAAAGAATCGAAGATCAATACTTCCGCATAATGGCCAAGCATCCCAATAGGACACCACGGACCTTTCGGCCACTCCAAGGGCATTGGGACGTGATCAAGCCGATTTGCAACCATTGGCCAGCTTGCTTGGAACAAGTACGCAATGCACCTCCAAGTGGAACCGTGGCATCCGACTGTGTGAGTTCGTTTTCACGTCCCAAATTGTGCATGTCATTTTGCATCATATGAAGTGATTGCATCATTTGACTTTGTTTAACTTGTGTAG